TCTTGGAGGTTCAAGGGTATACCGACAATGTGATTCAGTTAAGGCACCAAATGGTGAAATGAATCAAACAATTTTTCTATTTCACAAGACTTTGCAAACTGTTACAAACTCCTTGGAAACTGTAATGTAGCTGGGGATCTTAGCCTTCTTTGATCATTAAAAGGATCTTTTGGTGCCTAGTGACAATATAGAAGGCAAAAGCTCTCATCTTCTCAAATATGAGTGCACTTAAAATTTACTACCTCAAATTTTAAAACTATGGTTTCTCCTTAAAAAAACCTTTCTTGTCAGAAAAGAAAAAGAGAAGTGACTGTGATGCTCCAATTCACCTTCAACACCCAAGGGAACTTCTTAATTTTGCTGTCTATAAAGTAACTTACATATGGTGATCAATTGTTTGTTTCCTAAAACAAGAATCTATCTATTAATTTGCGACTGTGAGTATGAGTATGTTATTTTTCACTTGGACATATGTCCTTGTACTTGACTCTTTTTTTGTGGTTTATGTAATGTGCAGAAATTCTTGCTTGGTGGGAGGCTAATATTTGGACCAGATGCTAAGTAATTGATAATCACTTTCATGCTCATCCTTGTCCCTGTTGTTCTATTTTATGCATTTGTGGCAAGAAATCCCGTGGTTGAACTCTAATGAGAAAGTGCAGGATATGCAATTTTGGTGATAACTATTGTCTTCACAATTTATGTTAGTTTATTAACTCTTCCTTTTAGTGCCTGTTAGTGATCCGTCAGACTTTGCGTATGTTTCAGGAAAATCCCATGTGTTCCTTCTTAATTTTTTTGAACAGAAATCTGTCTATGAGATTGTCTTCCCCTTTTTCCCTCCCAAAAAGAAGTAGAGCCTTGATTTCTGTCAAGATACCCACTTTACTCACCTTGTTGCTTACGTTGTTGTCAACTGCCTTTACCCCTGTTTTTTTGCTTAACTTTCATAACTTCCAATGTGCGTTCTTCTTTATTCTCATAAGGTTAGCGCTTATTCTTGAAGACGCACATATATTCTTTTGTGGTGGCCAGGTGGTTTACACCAGTTGGAATCCTATAGTCATCATAATGCTCTATTCCGTTGTTTCTTATTATTTCAATTTCCTAATGTGGTATTGGTTGCCATAGGTCTTTATACTTCTACTTTCAACATCAGCAAAGGATCCTGACATTGTTATTATCATCCTCCAGAGGAAGTTCGAGGGTATGATTCCTCAGCTTGCGTTGAAACTAGCAGTAGACTGCCTCGCTTCAATGAAGTCCTTGTGAATGGTTTGCCTATACGAGTTAAATATTGTGAAACGTGCATGTTGTACCATCCACCAAGATGATCTCATTGTTCGGTATGTGATAATTGTGTGGAGCGATTTGATCATCATTGCCCTTGGGTGGGTCAATGCATTGGGAAGGTAAGTACATCCATTTTTTCATTACTATTTCTTTTTCTTTAAGTTCCATGGATGATTTTCTATTTGTTGCTTTTCTTACGCTTCCTAATTTATTTGATTCATTTAAAGATGAAATGTGCCAACTGTATCCTGACTCCAAAATGTTGATATTGGAAAAAAGTTAATATCAATTTTAGGAGGAGAAGCTCTTCTTCTATTTAAAATGCTCTTTAGATATCCTATTGAGACACTTTAATTTTTTCTCTTCTTCTTTGTTGGTGCACAACAGAACTATCGGTGCTTCTTTCTATTTGTTTCTTCAACAGCCCTCCTTTGTGTTTTCGTCTTTTCCATATCGGCTTTGTATCTGAAACTTCTCATGGATAATTCTGGAACTCTTTGGAAAGCTTTCAAAGAATCACCGACATCTGCAGCATTGATGACTTATTGTTTTGTTGCACTGTGGTTTGTTGGAGTTCTTACTGGCTTCCATTTGTATCTCATTGGTACAAATCAGGTTAGTTTGGTTTGAAACCTCTTACAATTAATAATTTAAAAGCTTTTCTGTTGTATTGCATCTGAGTACTATCAATCATAGTAATATTTTTTATTCCAACATGACAACTCCATTATTGTCATGGTGTTAGAGGACACAAGTATGCATCCCTTCAAAGTGATTGATGGCTTGTCAGGGACACTTGTCCATGCATTTAGAAAGTTAAATACAATTGATTAGGAGAAACATAGAATATAATGACTCCCTTTTGGCCTCTATTTGTAATCATGGAGGGAATTCTCTATTGACGTTTCTTCTTTACATTTTGTTCGTTATTTTTCAAGGGTTGTTTTTCCAGAAAAAAATGTGACAAATGTTTATATGATTTTTTTAATTCATAATATATTAGAGGAAGTGGAATGTTCTATTTCAAGAATATGATCTATAGTTAAGACTTAAGATCATCTAAATTAAAAAATGTAAAACATGTATTTCCTCGTGTAATATATATTTCTTTCTAATGTTTTTTCCCTTTGCCAATCTGTGAGTGTGTTGTTTCTTTGTTCATGATAATGGTTTATATATTCCTCATAAGAGCCTCTCTACGGGCTGGACTCGTTGATTTAGCTATAAAGAACAAATGCGAAAGTTTGTTTCATCTTATGCTCTTTTTTCCATTTGTGTTTCATTTCATAAGATTCTCTACTATTTTAAACTTTATTCTTCTTGTCTTCCATAATTTCCTAAAGAAAAAGAATTGAAAAAACATTTGAAGGAGTAACTTTTTAGTAGTAAAAAAGGAGTGCTTGAAAGAGGAACAATATGAATGTTTTCTGTGATCCTATCGGACATTAAGAAAAAATAGTTGATAGATATACAACTTTTAGTTATTGTTGGATAAAGGGGATTGATGTCTTCTTATTATACATTTTTTAATTGTTTTATTGCTAATGATTTCTGCAGACCACATATGAGAACTTCCGTTATGAGGGAGACAACAGGGTGTATAACCGGGGATGCATAAAAGATTTTCTTCAACTATTCTGCACAAGGATTGAACCTTCAAAAATCAATTTTCGCAGCTATGTACAAGAAGGGGCGTCAAAGCCTCCTAAGAGTAACATTCAAGAAACAAATATAAATATCTCTGATGGGGGATACACAAATTAAGGTGGAATATGATGTTGATATTGGAGATGATATTATGAAGATATCCCAACGCCGCAACTCTGAGGAATTGGTGATGTTAGAGGTAGAGGAAGTGACAGGTCGCCAATTGGTCGTTCTGAGGCTGATTTTGGGTTTGGTAAGGAGTCTCAGCTTTCCTCCAGACACGCATACTAACTTTAAGCAGAACAAGTGAAAAAAAATCAAATTTAACATCACCATTTTCCCCATGCATTCCGATTTCTCCTGCTGACATTATTTAGATCACTCAAAAGGAGGTTCAACTAATCATTTATTGATGTTTAAGACGCAACACAATACTTGTTGCTAGCCATGAATATGCATCAATGTCTCTTTCTCGAGCTGGGCTCTCCCTGCTATCGTGAAGAGATGAGATGGATAATCGGTTCACAAGTGTTTGCTGGTTTTAACTATTTATTGGAAGAACTACAACTATTTGAATTCTTTAGTTTGTATCTAACTCTTGAATTTAAACAATGCATACATCTGTTCTTGTTATTAGAGTTTGTTCCATATAAGGATATAAAAACTAACATTTGAACAAATAGTTATGCATTGTTTGATAACCATGGCAGAGAAAATGGAGAAATGAGAGAAAAATGGTTATTCAAGTGAAGTTTCATTTAGTTGCAAGTAATTTCAATTTACTATGTCTCCATATGCAAATATCATGTTTGTATTTTATATAAATAATATGGTCAAATTTCATCAACAACCACCTAAAGTTGGCGTGACTTTTCACTCAGTTGGTTCCTCATGTGCAGAAGAAGCGGAGGCAAACCCGATTAAAGCCACGCTCAATTTTACTTATAAAGGGGAGCAAGCTCAGTGGTACAAACCTTTGTAATCAACGTTAACCTAGAAGTTGTTTGGAGCATGAGAAAATTCATAACTAGTACAAAGGAGAGACATGATAAACTAAGACCAATTCATCTCAATCTACATAAAGTATTGATTTGAACATGCGTCCCATATGTATCAAGTGTTTGCTACTTTCATTCTGAAAAGAAAAATTAAACCAGACAAAGGAAAAAGAATTGTCCCCCTTCTCCGGTAATCCACCCGCCACATGCCCACATATGTAGAAAAAGAATGAGCGGAGAAGGAAAAACAATTGTTTGACTTAGGCTCGTGAGGTGGTGAGTTTGTATAGGTGACGTAATGTGTATAAGATTGCAATCTTGAAATTACGGTTCAACTGCGTCTTTGGCTTTGAGGAGTGGTGAGCAACACAAAACTTGTTTCAATCAAATGAAAATGTATTATGGTTAAAGCTTTCCTTTGTTATAAAATTCAGCGATAAAGAATCTATCACTTCAAATAAGATGAGAATAAACTTTTAACGTTACACTTCAATAGAATGAATTCAACAAATATAAAATAGGCCCGATGATCGATCGAAGATATTGTATCACTTGAACTCAAGTCCATCTGACCTTCAATCTATCTTTGTTCAACCAACTTATAACAAAATGTTATATCAATAGTTCAAGACGGACAAAATCAAATTGGTTGAGGATAAAGAACTCCAATCAACCAAGCCCCGCCGCTCCTAGAAGTATAGATCGAAAAACTACAGATCAAAAAAATATCAATTCATAAAATTATTATAAAATTCAAAATTCAATTTCAAAAACTACAAAAAAACTATTCTCAGAGTTTCCACTCCAAAATCACTCATAAAAATAGAAAAAACATACCTCATTCATATATACATACAACTTAATTTCAAATATCATTTTCAACTTTAAAATAAATCCTACTTTTTTTCTAACTTTCACAATTCTAAAACTTCAAAATTATATTTTAATTTTCATATTCAAATTGGTATGTCTTAAATGAGTAATTTTCAAATAATATTATCATTTTAAATATGTAGATTTAATTTGTTTTCAAAAAGATATTAACCCTCTTTTTTGTCAGAGCATAACTACTCCTACAAGAAAACTACAAATAAAATAATATAAAACACTCGAAAGTAAATTTTACAAGTCTTCAGACTCTCTCTCTCTCTTTTAGGGTTTCTGAGAATCGATCTCAATCGAACTCCGAAAAAAACTCAATAATCAATATGGTAAACTTCGATTTTCCTTCGATTTGTATAATTCGTGCTCGATTTTTGATCTTTATTCAGTTGAAATGTTTTGTTGTTTACAGGAAGGTGATGGGAAATTGGAGGCGCAAATTGAGGTGCTTCTGAATGTAGAGAAGCAGATGAGGCAAGCTGGCGATGTCGCTGCTACTAGAAAAGCAGCTATAGACATTCTTCAGCTTTGCTTCGAAGCTCGCGCATGGAAAACTTTAAATGAACAGATTGTTCTATTGTCTAAGCGCCGTGGACAATTGAAACAGGCACGTTTGTCTATTTTATTTATTTATTAGTTGATTTTTACGACTTCAAAATTTGGGTTTTGGTTCGTTTATAAATCTGGTCTTGAAAATCATGTTTTTGTTTGCTAAATTATGTGAAGGAAAAAGTAGGAAGTTTTAGAGATCAGTAAATTATTGCGTGGAAAAAGTAGGAAGTTTTAGAGATCAGTATATTATTGCGTGCTGTGTGCCGTTAAGCTGTTGGTAGTACCTAAAGATCTTGTTTTTTCACGTAATTGAAGTTTTGATTTGACCTATTGAGTTTCATATAGTTATACTTTACTGAGTGAATAAGCTAATTTGATCTTGACCATCACATTAGCAAAATTGATTTGATGAAGAACCCACCTGTGATATGCTGATAGAAGGCATGTTTTGAACTTAGAGGGCAATGTACTGGACTTACTTTCAGACTGTTCTTTTTATTTTTTTCACTCTTGTAGTGTTGCTGTAAATTCAATGGAAAGAGCAGGTAGACGTGCTGATTCCTTAGTGTGTAATTCAAAACTTCATCAGTTTTAGCTTAGCAGACTTGTAACTTGAGGAAGTAGGTGAGGGTGTTGGGTTAATGTTTTTCTCTAGGTCTAGGTGAGTGGATAGGCTCATCTCTATTCTTTGCTTGGTACAAAAGGAATGGAAGAGAGATTCTTTACTTTGTTTGGACTTCGGAAAAGCAAAAACACAGAGTAGTGCTTAGTATTTTAGGTTACTTGATTAAAAAGATATGTGAGACTACCTGTGAATGCTTCCATGATTAAAGCAGGAGTTTGGATAGGCTGTGGTCTTCATAGAAAAAATGGAAAGTTATCCTGTTTGTTTTTTACTTTTTTAAGTGATACGGGAAAACTAACTCTCGTCCCATACACTTAAACACTGCTAAAAGAAGGGTACTACTTGGTAGGGGTGTTGGATGAATTTTGCCTCTCTTAAGTTAAAAAAAAAGGTTGAGGAACTTGTGAGTCTTACACTATGAGGACCAAGCTTTGTATTTAGGTGGGGATCGATAGAAGCAGGGTGGGGCCATTTCCCCCATGTTTTGAAGGGTCTCAATAATTAAAAAAGAAGAAGTAAAGACTGAAGAGAGTCTTCCATTATTGTGTTCCAGCATAAGAAATGCTGGTAAGGGAAATACATACAGGATGGTTAATACTTAATATGCAAGTTCAAATCCTCATTTGGATTTCACTGGATATGTCGTTGTTTACAATTGCCATGTTGTGCCAAGATTTTGCCTGTTTAATTGATGAACTACTTTAGAGACTGCTTCGTTTGCAATGCCGTTTTTCAGATTTTTGATGAAGATGTTTATTAGGATTATTATTTCAGGGCGATATTGGTGTCTCGACCTCTAGATCTAATATTCGTATTTATGCTTGTTGAATGAAAATAAATGGTTGAAACCGGATTAGTAGGACATGAATAAAATTAAAGATAGGTACACACACATTTGAGCTTTTACCCTGTCAAAAAAGAAGATGAAGACACATTCCAGCTCTGTTGGGAATGAATTTGGAAAGGATGAATGTAGTGGCAAGTTCTTGGTTAATGATGTTAGTCAAGAGGTCCTAAAGAAATGCTAGGAATCAAATCCAAACAAATAGAGGTAAGGAGGGGTGAGGTACAAGGAAAAATGTCAACTACGACCAAAATACAAAAACAGAAAACCTATGTTGGCAACCAAGTTGTGGGTTAGCAGCTTTATATTTGTGGAAATTTTAAGCCAGGTTTCCTATGGCTGCAAAAATTTATCTGGGAGAATGTTGGATTTGGGGTATAAGTGAATAAGTAATCACGGGTCTTGGATGTGTTTTCCTAGGGACAGGTATTTCTATTCTACCAAGCACTACTTCTGCTTTGAACTTATAGGAACAAAAAATAGAAATTACTTGGAGATGCAATGCCCAAGGATGCAAGGAAGTATTTGAACCATGGAATTGCATAGCATGATGAAGCTAGGGAACTGAAAAATGATCAAGAAGTTGGATCGCATTTGCTTCATACTTAATTAGAATTTTTTTGCCTTTACTTGCTTTCACTTACCATCTACCTGGGAACATGCATGTTGTGGCTTCATATGTGAAATGCTTGGGCAATTGGCTACCAATGTGCTTGTGTTTTGAGAATATCGGGTAAGCATACTAGAGTATTTGTAAGCTCCCGAGTCCTGTCCCCCGAGTCCTGTCCATTCCATATTGAAATGCCTTTTTAGTTATGCTCTTCCTTGTCCCCATATATATGCATACGGCATGAGCCATTCTCATGAAAAATATACCTGTGGCATTTCAGCACTTTCTCTAGTTGCGATGACACTGATGCATGATACTATGGCTTCATTTATCCTCTTTAAACTTTATAATAATATGCTTGGTGTTTTTCCTGGTACTTATGCAGGCTGTACAGGCCATGGTCCAACAGGCCATGCAATACATTGACCAGACGCCCGATCTTGACACCAAGATAGAACTTATCAAAACACTGAACAGTGTGTCTGCTGGAAAGGTGAGGACATGTTCATTTTAATGAAAAGACATCACTGCAATTTGATTCTCTTTCCTACTGAGCAACTATGATCTGGAATGCAGATATACGTTGAGATTGAGAGAGCTCGCTTGATTAAGAAGCTCGCAAAGATTAAAGAAGAACAAAAACTCATAGGCGAGGCTGCTGATTTGATGCAAGAAGTTGCTGTAAGTGTTTGTTGACCTTCACTTTGGTGTCTTCTTGGTCTTTTTTGCTTTGTGCAATTGATGTCTAACTGCAATATTCTGGTCCTTACTCTTTATGTTTTTTCCCACTTGCAATGTAATGTGTCCATGGCTTAACTAACAGGTTGAAACCTTTGGAGCGATGGCAAAAACTGAAAAGATAGCCTTTATTCTTGAACAAGTATGTGATTCTCTTCCTTCTCTTTTATCCTTTTTGATGGGCAAACTCTTCCTTCTCTTTATACCCAAAATTTTAACGAGACCGTGCTTTTGGACCAACTGTGTGGTGCTGAACATTGCAGGTTCGTCTATGCTTAGATCATAAAGATTATGTTCGTGCTCAAATTCTCTCGAGAAAGATCAATCCCAGAGTGTTTGAAGCTGATCCATCTAAAGAAAAGAAGAAAGCAAAGGAGGGTGAAAATGTGGTTGAGGAACCTGCTGCAGATATTCCGTCACTGCCAGAGTTGAAGCAGATCTACTATCAATTAATGATTAGGTACATCTGATTATGTTATAAATGTGGCTAAGCAAGTTACCTTCTCTAGAATTGTTGAATGCAACACCCTTCTTACTATCAAGCATTCAGCAGATTCATGCAATCCGAGTATAATTTTAAAATAACGTAATTTATTTTCTTAAGATAACTTGGAATAGTTAATGTGTTCATACTTAAAGCTTGCAACTTCTGCACTTAGTTTTGGTGATTTGTGCAGTATCGGGACTGAAGATATTAGTATTTAAGGCACATAATTTGCTTATTTGCTCATTTTCTGGCAGTTTGTCTACATCTTACTTACATTTGAGTTTGGGTTAGACATGTTTTCTGAATAAAGATTCTGATTGTCTTCATTTTATATATGTTTTAGTTGTCTTTGAGGATTCTAGTTTCCTCCCCTTATCAACTGTGCCAAAGGATTAAAGTGAATGTTATCTGTGCTTTGTCAGAAATGTTTGTTTTTAGTAGAAACTTCATATTTTTTCCGGAAGAGATTATACACCTTGGATGTCATTGAATAAATAGAGACTGAAGTAAGTTCTGCAGAGCTCCATGTTTGAGATAGTTCCATATTTGCTCTGTTTGCTTTGGTTTATTTGTGGATGGACTTCCATTCTTTAAATTTCATTGGGAGCAGGTGACTAAACTTTAGAAGACAATTGTAGTTCTGCTATACTTTGCACTTCTTTTCAAGATGATAAGAAGTGATTGAAGTTGTATTCAGAATACATGACAATTAAATGACATGGTTATGCTCATCTACACCCTATAAATTCACCTAAGCTGATACTGACTTTTGAAGTAGTAAAGGTCTTTCAAAGTTGCATCACCTATCAAATGTAAATGAAAGTTATTTTATTTATCATAGAATAGTTTTTGCCATGTCTCCAAATTTTTTAGGTTGGAGTGACCTTGCATGATTTTCTTAATTGTTGATTTAGCAGGTCAGCAATCCTAAGGCATGAGATTCTTACTTATTTAGAGTGATATAGCTCTAGATGAATGAATGATTTCATTTGGAGATCGTTTTTTGCATTTGTGTATCTTAAACTGGTGTGTCATTCTTTCTACTTCTGTTGCAGGTATTACTCACATAGCAATGATTACCTTGAAATATGTCGCTGTTACAAGGCTATATATGAGATCCCTTCCGTGAAAGAAGACCCAGCACAGTGGATACCAGTAAGATCCCTTTCATGAATTACTCACATTCTGCATAAATTATAATTTCGAGACGTTGCACGTGGTATTATTCGATGGAAAATCAGTTTTGAATTTTTTAAGTAGTAAGTCTATATAATGTAGTGTTGGTTAATGAGCAATTCTTTTCAGAAAAATATAACAATAATCATTCTGCTGCACAATATCATTTGCCTGGATGCCTTAAATGATATTTCACTTCAAAAAAAATAAAAATTCAAAATATGTGACAACTAAATTGATTTACCAATAAAAGGTATGAACTCTGACAAAAGTAAATGGGTTGGGAATTATTAATCTGTTGTAACAGATACGTCACTGCTGCATAGCTTTAAGATTAGGTGACAATTAAATTAATTTACACCTACCTGAAAATTCTAATTGCTAAATCAAGTAGAGGTGATACAAAACCATCAGATATGTCAAATTCATAAAGAGACACTCTTTCTTCCCTATATTGGGAAACAAATTATTTAAGAATAGAAGATATAGGATTAGTTTTTCCCTGGTATCATATGATAATTGTGAGCTGGGCTTGTATTCTTATGCAGCTAGTCAGGCTTCTCTTCATCTAACAAGATAAGGGTCGGCATTCTTTTCAGTTTTCTAGAAAAGGGGGTAGGCATCCTTTTCATCTGTCAGAAAGATTTGGGTTGGGTTGGGGGGGGGGGGGCTTTATTATTTAGCCTGTTTGGATTACCTTTTGGCTTGTGACATGAAGGCATAAGTTAGAAATTTTTACTTATGGCTTTTAGCTTATTTTTGATATTTTGGTTTAAAAACATGTGCTTATAAGCACTTTTTTATTTTACCTAGACACTTCAAAGCTGCTTAAAAACTATTTTGGCTTTAAAGAACCTATAATAAGCCACAATCCAAACAGGCTCTTAGTCTACCCATGTTGATCATTGAACATCTTGGGCAGAAGGAAAACAAATTTCGAACTGTGGCAATAGGCTTGGCTATAATTAGATTAAGAAGAAAACAAGAATGTGTAAATGCGGAAGTGTGGTAATACGAAGAGAGAAACATAAAAGCTAATGGGGAGGAAGAGTCATTACTCTGGCTATAACTCTTTCCACAAACCATTTACTGTTCTCCAGAAGATTTAATAAATGTAACATTATTTTATAGGTTTTAGAGTCCAAGTCTATATTATTAGGAGAAAAATGGGTGGGATGGATGGACGTATTCTATTTTGATAACTTGAAGTCACTGATAAATAAGATACAATGTATTCTGTTTTGTTAACTTGAGTTGTTATTGGAGGCCCTTTCTTAGTGGATCTAGCATAATTTTTTTTATTTTTAATTACATTTCGATTTGTAGACGTGTATAAATGTAGATAGAGGAGCTCGTCATTGTATTTGAGATTCCAAATCTTGAAGAGGGTTAATTGCAGATAATGCTTGATTGACCAGTTTGCTTAACTCTGTTATTTCATGTAGGTTCTGAGGAAAATTTGCTGGTACTTGGTATTGTCTCCCCATGATTCTATGCAATCAAGTCTTCATAACTCAACTTTGGAGGACAAAAATCTTTCAGAAATTCCTCATTTCAGGTTTTGTGCAAAAAACTCTATTGCACTATGTTTACTGTTGCTACTTGTAAAATAAAGGAAAAAAGTAATAACTATGTTTATGGTGTTATTATCTTTGCATTTGTATATTTGGGTTTGTGGGGTAAGATTTCTCAAAATTTTGCCAATTGACATAAACTCTGCTTGGAAATTATTTCATTCTGTGTGTGGTTATATGTCATTTGATGATGAATATTTTGTACTTCCTTTGGAACAAGTTGAAGTTTATATAGCAATTTCTATTTTGGGACATCAAGGATGTTTGCCACCTGTCCATCAACAATATTGTTCTGCATCTTTCAGAAATTTCAAGAATCTTAAGTTTTTTACTATCTTCACAAATTCATCCAATGTATCCGTGACAGACTAGCTTTGAGAAACTGTCTTAGTAATTTCTTTGATTACTAATGACCAATATAGTAGAAATGTCAACTGAGCCATCTTACACTTCCTCCCTAGTCAAATCCTATCACACAATTAATTGGCTGGAGTATTAGAGTTCTAGTCTGGTTCATCGGGCTTTGCATTGTTGCAATGTTTGCGTATTTGATATGAGTCTTGCATGTTAAGGCTGAAGGAGATTAGAGTTATTCAATGATTAATGGATCTTTGAAGTCCTTATTTTCTTAAACTAACATTTTGAAAATTGAAACTCTAAACAGAAATATCAAGTAATGAGTGTATATATAACCTTATTCTACTACCTGACTAACTTATATAGTCTCGTTTATTTCAATATAAATGTGGAATTTTGCATGCTCAGAAGGAAACATTTCTTATCTTTTATCCAACGACTGTTTTTTCAGAAATTTACAATTTTCTCCACCCTCTACACTAGAGGGGAACCAACTTCAGAATAATGATTGTTTTGGTATCTTCCTTTTTTTTGCTTCAGGCTGCTTCTGAAGCAATTGATTACCATGGAAGTCATTCAGTGGACTGCTTTATGGAACACATTCAAGGATGAGTTTGAAAATGAGAAGAATATGCCTGGTGGCACTTTGGGGGACAAGGCTGCTGAAGACCTCAAACTGAGAGTTATTGAGCACGTAATATCTAAGGGCTCACTTTTAGTTCTCCTGTTTGATGATTTGTCATAATGGCGTCCATTTTCCTCTTGAATTGTGCTTTAACTTTTAAGTACTATTTTCCTTGCAGAACATCCTTGTCGTCTCAAAATACTACTCAAGAATAACCTTGAAGAGGCTGGCTGTTTTACTGTGCCTCGATATTCAGGTGCATGTTTAGTTTATTACTTTTCCTAATTTGTTTAGAGTATTGTGTACAATACCTACATGTTTTACTTCATCTTTGGTGGTATTTAGAGAGTTCCTGCTATGATTAAGTGAATGTGGTCTAAACCTTAGTGCAAAGGCCGAGGGCCACTGTAAGTCTTGGGGTCTCTCTGTGCCTTGCAGCAATATAACTTTGTGCTTGTGAAAAACATTAGCTGTTAGATTTGTCAATTCAGATCTGGTTCATTATAGTTAAGATCCTTGGTCTGGCTCTTGCTGATGGCGGGAAATTTGCTATACCTTTGCACTAAAATAGTAAAGAAGGTAAACTGTGTGAAAAAGAAAAAAATGTTGTAGACAACTCAGTGGAGAGTTGCTGGATGTTCCCAATTTTTACCTTCTGTGCACAAACTTTCAAATGTTGGAACTGAAATCATAATCAGCATTCTATTTTCTCTTCATCATTACTGAGCACCATTTGTCTAGATGTTGCAACTGTCACATAATTGTTTTACCTCTCATAGCATACATTTGTCTGGTGATTTCTGATCTTCTTTTCTTTTTTCTTTTTTTTTCAGGAAGCGGAGAAGCACCTATCTGAAATGGTTGTATCAAAAGCTTTGGTTGCTAAAATAGACAGACCTATGGGTATTGTCTGTTTCCAACCCCCAAAAGACAGCAATGATATCTTGAATTCTTGGGCGTCTAATTTGGAGAAGCTGCTTGACCTTGTCGAAAAGAGTTGCCACCAGATCCACAAAGAAACAATGGTGCACAAAGCTGCTTTAAAGGCTTAGAAGACTTTGATCGGACAACTCTACTGGTAGGAGCCAAGCCGAGCCTCACATCAATTATAGCAATTCCGGTCTGGACGTTCATTGTGACAAAGTTGAAATCCTTTTTGCAGTACTCTCTATTCTGAGAAACAAGCAACAAGAGCAAAAACTCGCAAATCTTGATTCCTCTGCCTGTACTATCACGATTTGCCTGCTTGCTTTTCTCGTTGTCGGAGTTTCATTTTCTTCCCCCATTTTGTATCTTTATCTGACGTTTCTCCGCATGATTTATTCATTGTGATCAGCAAAAATTTAGGTTTGATGCCAAGAGATCAGAGATGTCAAGTTCCATTAATTGCTTATTTACTCATCATCACATTCATTAGCGCTGTAGTTTTATTTTGTAATGCATCCTTCTTTAGGGGTTAGCAAAAGGAAAATGGCTTTCTTTTCCCCTTTTAAAATGATCTCTACCTTTGCGTTATCTGTGTGAAAAATATGTGTTTTGAAAATAATACCTAGATCGGTATCGATGGGGTTTACATGCCACTGTAAATCATGGATTGTTTTAGACTACAAAGTTTTTCGATGATTTTCGTTTTTCAAAAAAGCTGTTATGCCAAGTCAAACATCATATAATGTCAAAGGGCCTTTTTGGATTGTAAATGTGGTTGTGGAAACATTTGGAAAAAAAAAGATTAGTGTTAGGTGTGTTTATGAAAATGTTTCAATATGTGGCGTCTTTTGATATTTCGATTATCTTATTAATGAGCTATTTGTCAATAATTTTCATAAATGATGAGGATTTTAGGTTTATTCAATGAGGTTCGAAAAGTATAGTTGGTGAGGTTTAGAGAGTGCAGAGGAAGCAAGTAACACTGCTACGTTGGAACTCTTTCTCATGATTCGTTATTAGGAATAGTTCTGTACTTGTTCGCTACCTTAACCAAAATATTTTCACATAACCATTACTAACACAAAGTTAACAATTATTACAGTTTGTTAACTTATAATAAATTACGAAGACTCATCAATGCAAAAAAAAAAAAAAAAAATAACGATATTCTAATTTTCTGATACAATTTTCTTATATTCTACGACCAATTTCTTTAATAAGAGCGGGTTCAATGAGAGGTCGTTTGAATATAAAGGAAAAATTACATAAATAAATACAATTTAAAAAATAATTACTCATTTTAGCAATACTTTTTGTTTATTACCATTTATATCAAAGCTTTGTTAAATCTGTAATATGTATTAAAAGTGAATTATGTATGCAATATATATGAATTATAATTGTTTTTTGAAATATATCATGTTTGTTTGGTAAAAATTGTCACGTTGTATTATAAGTATATTAAAATGTGTGATAAATGTATTATTCATCATTAAAAATTTTATTATATGTGAATAATAAATTGTTCTTTGTAATATGTATTAAACTTGTATTATAAATGAATTAAAAGTGATTAAGTGAAAAAAAATATTATTGCTATAAATGGTAAATATTTTTTTATTATAGTATATTTATGTAAGTTTCCCTTTGATGAAATTACAATTAAAGTCATAATTGATGAGCTTTTCTTTTTATTATAGACTATAAATTTCGAAATTTATATAACAACTCAACAAAAATAAAATAGATTTGAGCTCAAAAAACACTTTTTCTGGATCATTTTCAAATTAGGTACCACATAATTTTAGTGTACCCTCTCTCGTTTACAATATTCATCGTTAATCCATAAGTGGATGAGATTAACATATATTTTTTCTTATTTTCTAATAGTGTTCATTGGCAATTTGTCTATAGAATATAAGGACTAACAGTATATATAAGATCATTTAGTTTATTGTTCTGAATAATAAAAAGAAATATTATTTGTAAAAAAAAAAAAAGATTTTGTTTATTGAACTAGTCGATATGAAAAGAATATTATCCTACGAATCTTTTGTTTCTTAAAATATAAGTTATTGACGTTGACTCCACTAATAGAATCTCTATATGGCCCTACTAATACACCAAATAGGAATTAATTAAACTTAAGGGGAAATGTTCTTGAAGTTCTGGAAGTTGTATAATGATTTCTTGTATTTTATGTAAAAAAAGAATTGAAAAGTTTCGTTCTTTTGAAATATTATGAATTCGAATTTAATTAACTTTGGGTACGTGCTTTTGCAAAGTAGATCGAATTTGCTACTAAAGTAATGGTTTGAAATAGTTTTTGGTAATTATAGTATTTTTTTTTTTACACATTTTATTACTTATTTATATTCAGACGATTAACATGAATCTGCGTTATGCATTTATCTTTCTCATTCTTCTTTCACAATTTAATTAGCTTATAATTGAATATTTTGAAATCTCTAAACCGTCAAACCTTCTATTGTCGTCTGTTTACAAATATGATTAAATTTGCTTTATGGTGTGTTCTTCAAATTTCAGGAATTGAAACAAACACCATTTTAATATTTTATATGTATCAATTTATCAAATTCAACGTAATACCATTTCAATATTATTATATTAACTTTTTAAATTTTTGAGCCATGTATTTCATTTTTACTCCACAAGATGTACATATAGTCGACAATTCAAATATCAATTATAGGATTATACTGAATCTATTATTGTTATTCAATTTACTTATAAAAAATTAGAGAGAAGTAGTGAAAACACTCTTGACATGGCGTGAATTATTAGTTTTCAGTATTAACACTCATAATTAATTCATGTACATTACTTATTCCTTCCAAGTTGGTTTGTTAGTTGTATTTCCATTTTATAGTTAGTATTGTAATAGTTAGTTACATAACAAACTAGTTAGTTAGTTAGTTATTTTCTTTCCACTAGTTTGATCCATCTAATCACATGTATATATACACCTCATGAGTGATGAATGAAGGTAATCAAACTTTTCACAATTCAATCTCAAAGCCTTGCATTGTAGCTTTTATCCTCAGTCTCGTCTGGGGAAGTTTGCAGCTTCATCAATGGCTGCCCATGCTTCTTGTTGAAGATCTTAACATGGTATCAGAGCACACGATTAACTGCTTTTTTCTCTTCTTTTGATTACTCGTTTTGATTGATTATCAATCGATAGCAAAGTTGGAAGTTACTGGTTTTCATACATCTTCTGTTTCCTTTTCTCTTCTGAAAGTTCATAATAGTCATAGTTGTAATGGCCATCGAAACTACATCCACATCTGCATCTGAGGGATCTGTAATATCTGAAAGTGATGCCAATGGTGTTCTGTATGTGCATCCTTCAGATAATCCAGGAATGATACTTGTTCTTGTTCAGTTTGATGGAACAGGATATAGGACTTGGAGAAGAGGTGTTATGAGGGCATTGTCAGTGAAAAACAAGTTAGGTTTCATTGATGGAAGTTGTGAGAAACCAAGCACCAATACACCCCTGTTACGTCAATGGCAGAGGTGTGATGATATGGTGACATCTTGGATCCTGAACTCCTTAATCAAAGAAGTTTCAGACAGTGTAGAGTATGTAAACAATTCTGCTGAGTTGTGGAAGGAGTTGGAAGACAGGTATGATCAAACCAATGGAGCAAAATTGTATCAAATTCAAAAGGAGATCAATGATCTCACACAAGGAGTTTTGGACATTACTGTATATTACACAAGAATGAAGAAGTTATGGAAAGAATTGAATACTTTGAATGTGAAGAATCACTGCAGTTGTGTCTGTGTGTGTGGTGCAAAGGATAGTATATTCAAGGCTAAACAAGATAGACGCCTGATTCATTTTCTTATGGGGTTAAATGAAGTGTACACAGTGATAAGAGGAAACATTCTCATGATGAATCCTCTTCCTTCTATGGGACAGGCTTTCTCACTGCTAATCCAAGAGGAAAAACAAAGAGAATTCAAGCCTGTTGGTAGAATGTCTACAGATTCTGTGTCTTTGAATGTTAAAGCTGTTGATAACAAAGGGCATGGAGGAAGATCTTTTAGAACAAATTTTCAAGGAAACAACTATGGAAATAGCTATGGAAAATATGGTGATACTAACAGTAGTTTAGGAGGAAATCACTATCAAAGTAACAACACCAACAGGAATGTCATAGTGTGTGACTATTGTAAAAGAGCTGGACACATCAAGGATAAGTGTTACAAGTTGCATGGGTATCCCCAAAACAATAACAACCAAAATAATAGATCAGGAAATTACAATGGTGGCCAGAATTTTAGACAACAAGGCTCAAGTTACAAAGGAAGGAGAGTGGTAGCAAATGTACATGGTTCTGTAGGTGATGTGGCATCTGCAAATGAGAAGAACAATCACAATCTCAAGGTGATGTGTTAAAGAATGTTAACTTTACGAAGGAACAATATGGACAGATCATGAATCTACTGCAAAATTTCAAAAATGAGAATGTGGGAGAAGATACTGCTGTCAATAATGGTATGGCTGATGGATCAATGAACTTTGCAGGTATTGTAGTTTGCTCTTCCTCTACTGTTTTTGACAATCTATCATGCAAATGTTTTGAGTCAAGTGCTAATTTGTGGATCATTGACTCAGGAGCATCAAACCACATAACCTTTAGTAAGAATTCTCTAATCAATATCAAAACTTTGCCTATTCCTATACTAGTTTCTCTTCCAAATGGATACAAAGTCAAAGTAACAGAGTTTGGAGATGTACCAGTCACATCCAATATTACTTTACATCAAGTCTTATATGTGCCTTCTTTTAAGTATAATCTAGTTTCAGTCCATTCACTAACTAATACAATGAAATGCATAGTCATGTTCACTAATGCATTGTGTCTATTGCAGGCCCCTTTAGTGAAGAGGCCACGGGTTCTTGGTAGTTGTAGAGATGGGCTTTACTTCTTATGCACAAAATGCTTGAAGACCTCTGAAAGAGTCAATACATGTCAAATATGTTGTTGTTTTCCAAATAACAGTCCTTTTTCTAGTTCCATTAGAGGTGAAACATGTAATTCTTTTCCTGCTAATTCATTTTCTCATGATCAATACAAAGTGTTAGCTTCTAATTCTGTTCCTTTTAAGTGTAAATCTTCTTTTAGTCATGTTATGGCTGATCACAACTCTGGAGACAATGTAGACTTGTTGTGGCACAATAGACTTGGCCATGTACCTTTTGTTAAGATGAAAAGTATCATTGGATTACCAGTTAGTTTTTCTTCCAAACAACCTTTCTGCTGCAATATTTGTCCAATGTCAAGACAACAAAGGCTACCTTTCAGTCATAGCACAAGCCAAACCAAATCCATTTTTGAACTGCTACATATTGATTTATGGGGACCTTATCATATATCCACTTATGACAACTACAAGTATTTCATTACTTTGGTAGATGATTATAGCAGATCAACTTGGACACACCTCTTAAGTACTAAAAGCAATGCTCTACAAGTTTTGAAAAAATTTATAGTCATGATAGAGAATCAGTTTAATACCACTCTCAAAAACATT